CTGCCTTCCTCTGACCCCTACCCCTCAAGACGCCTGGGCTCCCTTTCTGAGCCAGGTGAAGCCGCAGGCACCAGAGCGAGAGCAGAACCCACAACCATCCAGAGGGAGGGGCAGCGGCCGCCACCTGTTTTGCACCTGTGCCTTCACCCTGCCCGGTTCCTGAGTAGGACCGCAGGCCCGGAAGGCCAAGGCAAACAGCCTGGTTCCTACGACTGGGTTCCAGCCCCACCCCTGGCACAGGCGTGAAGTTGGGAAGCATCTGGGCAGCCGCTGTCTATTCTATTTAAACAGCCGAGCTGGTCAGAGGGTGCTGGCTGGCCATGCCAGGCACAGGACGGACTGGCCAGCATGTCACTCCCGGCGGCTCACCTGGTCGGCCTGCAGCTCTCCCTCTCCTGCTGCTGGGCTCTCAGCTGCCACAGCACAGAGACATCTGCCGACTTCAGCCTCCCTGGGGATTACCTCCTCGCAGGTCTGTTCCCTCTGCACTCTGACTGTCCGGGCGTGAGGCACTGGCCCACGGTGACCCTCTGTGACAGGTGAGTGAGGGGTCCTGTGCCTCTAGGACCTCCGCCCATCCTCTGTCCTCCTCAGTGAGGATCTTGCCCTTCCTGCCTCCCGAGCCGCCTCCCATCCCTCCCCATCCTATGGTCACCACCTTCAAGCCTTGGCTGGGCCTTCCCTGGCACTTCTGCCCAGGTTCTGCTTTGTAATACCTGATTTTGTCCTGGCTGTTCGAGTGCTTTGTATTATAATCCCATTCCGGTCATTTCCGGGCTTTGGGACGTAAGTAGGCAGTTAGGTTTTCCCCTGCTTTCGTGTCCTCCCCACTCCTCTCCAGGTTCAAACTCCTGTGTCTCCCCGATGGCAAGTGAGGAGGAGAGGGAAGGCACTGGGAGTATATGGTTTGGGAACCTAGCAAAGATACCTGAGATTGGTGCCTTGCCTTTGGGAAGTTGACAGCCTAATAGAGAAAAATACGTTTCCCTCCTAAAGAAGATAGTTATTTGCCATCTGTGCAAGTCACAGGCTTGGGAGGCTCAAGGATGCATTGGGACTCAGTGGCAGGATGCCTTAAACGTGACGCACATCTGACAGTCACCTCTACCCTCAAGACGCCTGGGCTCCCTTTCTGAGCCAGGTGAAGCCGCAGGCACCAGAGCGAGAGCAGAAGCCACAGCCATCCAGAGGGAGGGGCAGCGGCCGCCACCTGGCTTGCACCTGTGCCTTCACCCTGCCCGGTTCCTGAGTAGGACCGCAGGCCCGGAAGGCCAAGGCAAACAGCCAGGGTTCGAGGAAGAAGGTTCTGGAGAGTCTGGCACATGAGGACTGGCCCAAAGAGCTACCGATAGGAGCCCAGGTAGAGGAGACTTGGGGAAGAGGAGACACATGGATGTCCGCTTCTGAAGGTGTCACCGTGGGGGGCAATGAGCACCCTCTGAGGGACTCGTAGACACAAGTGATAGAAATGATAGAAGACCCTTCTAACAAGCAGAAGGGCTGGAAGGTGAAACGTGCTAGCACACTCTTCAAGCAGAGCTGAACCGTGTTCCTGTTGGGATCCAGTCAGCAGCTCCCGAGAGGCACTGAGGAACACAGGCCCGCACCACGTTCACAGGTGTCCTGATGAGAGAGATACTAGGTAAACAAGGTTCGACAGGTGTGTGGTTAATTTTATACGTCAACCTGGCTAGGGTACGGTGCCCAGTTGTTTGGCCAAACACCAGTCTAGATGGGGCTGTGATGGTTAACATTTAAACCAACAGGGTGAGTAAAGCAGATCGCTTTCCATTGTGTGGGTGGGCCTCATCCAATCAGTTGAAGACCTTAAAAGAAAAGATTGAGGTTCCCCCAAAAAGGAAGAAATTCTGCCTTCGAACTCAACACTGCAGCTTTGACCATTGAGGGCATTTCCAGCCTGCCCTGCAAACGCCAGACTTGCCAGCCCCACAATCATGTGAACCAATTCCTTAAAATAAACTTCTCTTTCTCTCTCTCTATCCAACTGGTTCTGTTTCTCTGCAGAACCCTGACTCACGCAGCAGGTTTCCCTGCTACAGGACTTCATCAGCCTTTCAACACTAATATGCTCATCCAGGGAGGAATGGTTTGTGGTTTCTCCAAGTTGTTACCGCCCCTCCCCACCCCCCCACCCCCCGCCCACCCAAAGGCCTGTTAACACAGCTGAGTGTATGGTACAGGGCCCACAGTGAGGTCATGGTGGTAGGGGACGGGACAGATGCCCTCAGAGTTTCCTTTCTACACTTCCCCCCACCCCCGACGCCAAGAGGGTCTCGGCAAGGCCTTGCTCTTCTGAGCTCTCAGCTTGGCTTTCTCTACAGGCCCGACAGCTTCAACGGTCACGGCTACCACCTCTTCCAGGCCATGCGGTTTGGCATCGAGGAGATAAACAACTCCACGGCCCTCCTGCCGAACGTCACCCTGGGATACCAGCTGTACGACGTGTGCTCGGAGTCTGCCAACGTGTATGCCACACTAAACGTGCTCTCCCTGCTGGGGACACATCACATAGAGATCCGAGCAGACCCTTCCCACTATTCGCCTGCCGCCCTGGCTGTCATTGGGCCTGACACCACCAACCACGCAGCCACCACTGCAGCCCTGCTGAGCCCCTTCCTGGTGCCCCTGGTGAGCTGGAGCCCGGGGGCCTGTCCATCTCCCCTGCCGGCAGGTCCAGCGTGGGCTGGGGGGGGGGGGGGGGCTGGGCAAGAGCTGCCATGCCCACTCTGGCCCCCTGGGTCTCCTGGGTGGTCACATTGCAGGGGGCCCTGCCCCCTTCACAGTCCCCACCCCAGCCTCCCTTCCTCCCCAAGTGCTGCATCCAGACCTCCCTGCCTCAATGTCCTGAGAAAAACCGTCTCCTTTGAAACTGCTGCCCTTTGCTCTGCCCCCTCCATTCCATCTCCTCTGTGAAGAATGGAACACCCTTTGTTTCCCACCTCACACACTTGTCCACTTCTCCCCGCCCTCCTCCTTCTGGTCTTCTTTCCCTCCCTCCCAGCTCAGGCTCAGAGGTGTGGTCCCCCTCCCCCTCCAATGCTGTCCTCCTGGGCCTCACCCTCTCCTCTTCTTATAGGCCTGTCCTAGGCTTCCTCCTCCGCCTATAAGCTGGCTGTACCCCTCTCCGTCTTCCAGGCACCTGTGGTCTTAGCGCTGCCCTCTCTCTGAACCTCGTTCCGTGGAAACTTGTGCACTGAGCTCTCTCTTCTTGTTTGCTTCTCCCTCTCATCACTTGCTTCCCGGGCCCCTGCCCTGACTGCTGCACCACCACTCCTGCTCTTGTGATCTCCAGGGCTTCCAGCAAATGCTTTTCAGCCCTTCTTTGCTTGACATGACGACTCTGTGACAAATTTGACCAGTCCTTCAGTGACGCTCTTGCCTGGGCATTTATGACCTGCCACCTCCCTCTCACTTGTGGCACCTCCTTCTCCTCCTCCTCCTTCTCAGTCTCCTTTGGAGAATCTCCTCCCCACCTCTTCTGAAAAAGTGGATGATTCCCAGAGTGCAGGACCGCTCCCTTTCCCAGGCAGGTGCCGGGAGCAAACAACTTTCCCTACTCTTCAAGATTCTTCTGGCTGGTCTAAAGATTAAGTTGATGTGACACAGATGAACAGGAGAAAGTCAAAATCACATATGTACAGGGAATCTACATAAACACGAGAGGTTCAAAGACAGGCAAAGTGAGGCTTATCTGCTATCCTGAACTATGGAGAAGTGGGTGGGGGTCAGACTTCAAAGGAAAGGAAGACAATTCATAGGAGAAGAGAGAGTGAATGTGTATTACACAATGTTTGCTGGGCCATCCAGAAACAATGGGACATGGAGAGGAATTTTAACAAATGGGACTTTGCTAGGTTCCCCCCACCCCCACCCCTGCTTACTTCGCCTAGTTCCTATTGTAATGTAATTCTCTATGGTGAAGCTCCTGAACCTGGGGCAGCTTAGCTCTCTAAATTCTTTTGGGCAGTTAGGGGAAAGGACAAAGTTTCCCCCTGGGTCTTTTGCGCTTTAATGATTTTCAACTGGAAATTAACCCATACGCCAAGGTGGCAGATCTTGGGGCAGTTCATTCAGAACCTCTCCACAGGCCGTGGCCCCACGGCTCCATCGCCCGTTCCCTAGCTTCTGTCCTGAGTTCTAAGCACTGAGCCTCGTTTCTGGCTGCTCTTCCGGGGTCTCCACTTCATGCATCCAGCGGGCCCCCCGGCTGAACCTACCTCCCTATACAACTCAAGCCTCTCTGCTTCCTGCCCACTTGCCTTAAGAGTGACCACCTCCACTCAAGCCAGGAACCCGGTGCGCCACCTACATTCCTCCTTCCCCCACCCCCACAGTTAGCCCACCACCACGGCCTCTGCTTTTACCTTCTATGAGCTGCCGGGCCCATCCCTCTTCTCCTCCGTCACCGCTGCCACGGCTCGAACTCAGGCTGCCAAGCTGTCTCTTCGGGATGATTCCAGCAGTCTCCTAGGGAGTTCTTCCTGACTCTGGTCTTGAGCCTTTTCTAACACATTCTTCACTGAAATCAGATACACCCCTGAAACACAAGTCTGGGCAGATTACCTCTCTGCCTAGACATTTAAGGGGCTCCCCAGGGCCTGCAGATAAAGACCAAGGATCTTAGCTACCTTACTGCCAGGAGTAAGGCCTCCTGCCCTGACCAGACACGCCTACTTTTGTGCTCCTTCTTCCGGCTTCCAACCTCCTGGGTCAGTTCTCTCACTGGGTGTAGCTTTTGTTCTCTTCCCCTTCTTCTCCCACAAACCTCCCCCTGGGTTTCTGCCTCTTCTTTAGATGTAGCTGGTCGGCCTCCTAGTCCACCAGAGCTCTCCTTGAGAGCCAGGGCTGGGACCATGTCTCCCTCCTCCTCGGGTCCCCGCGCCCAGCACAGGGCCAGCACTTGGAGGCCCTGAGTTGAGGCCAAGGCCACTGAAGTCGCTGAACTGAACCCCCCCAGGCCCCGAAGCCCCTCAGCAGATCGCTCTGAGCCACGGCCAGCATGCGACGCCGAGAAGCTGAACCCCTCGTTTCTGCGCACCATCCCCAGCGACAAGCACCAGGTGGAGACCATGGTGCTGCTGCTGCAGAGCTTCGGTCTCGGTGGTTGGTTCATCCGGTGGTTGGCAGCTGACGGCCATCACGCTGGGGGTGCAGGCGCTGGAGGAGCAGGCCACCCAGCAGGGCATCTGCATTGCCTTCAAGGACATCATCCCCTTCTCTGCCCGGCCAGGTGACGAGAGGATGCAGGGCATCATGCACCACCTGGCCCGAGCGAGGACCACCGTTGTGGTCGTTTTCTCCAGCAGACAGCTGGCCAGGGTGTTCTTTGAGTCAGTGGTGCTGGCCAACCTGACTGCCAAGGTGTGGATCGCCTCAGAAGACTGGGCCATCTCTAGACACATCAGCAATGTGCCCGGGATCCAGGGCATTGGCACGGTGCTGGGTGTGGCCATCCAGCAGAGGCTTGTCCCTGGCCTGAAGGAGTTTGAAGAGGCCTATGTCCAGGCAGATAAGGGGGCCCCTGGGCCTTGCTCCAGGACCTCCGAGTGCAGCAGCAACCAGCTCTGTAGAGAGTGTCGGGCTTTCACGGCAGAGCAGATGCCCACGCTCGGGGCATTCTCCATGAGCTCTGCTTATAACGCCTACCGGGCAGTCTACGCAGTGGCCCATGGCCTCCACCAGCTCCTGGGCTGTGCCTCTGGAGCCTGTTCCAGGGACCGAGTCTACCCCTGGCAGGTAAGGTAGCCCAGACCCCGGCACCCTGAAACAGGGTGCTTTCCTAAGGCAAACAGAGTGATCCCTCTCTGGCCAACTGAGTGCCGGGGGTGGGGGACAAAGGCCACCCACCAGAAGGCTAATTCCTTCTCTTGGGCTTCACTTCTCTGACCTCGGCCCCTCCCACCACCACGCTCCAGACCCAGGGCTAAAAATCTCTGGAAAGGGGGCCTTTTTAGAAGCTTCCTCTCACTCAGGAGGCCAGTTGGGAGGGTCGAGGGGCTTCCTTGGAAGGGAGGGGGCTCTGAATTTCCAGACAGACTGAAACCACCCAAATGGAAGCATTTGCTTCCTAAGCCTTCCGGGTCTGGGAGAGTTGAGGAGGAGCAGCCTGCGTCATCTGTGGCTGCTCCATGATCCCCGTTTATCTCAGCTTCTGGAGCAGATCCGCAAGGTGAATTTCCTCCTACACAAGGACACCGTGAAGTTTAATGACAACGGGGACCCTCTCAGTGGCTACGACATAATTGCCTGGGACTGGAGTGGCCCCAAGTGGAACTTCAGGGTCATTGGCTCCTCCATATGGCCTCCAGTTCAGCTGGACATAAATAAAACCAAAATCCGGTGGCACGGGAAGGACAACCAGGTAATGGAGCCACGGTCACTCACCAAGTCACTGCCTTACGGGCAGCCTGGAGCCTGAAGTCACTGTCGACACAGCTCACACGGAGCAGGAGGGGGCCCCGGGTGCCAGGCCAACGTGGCTCTATCCAGCCCTGCCAGGGAAGCCCCACAGACCGCACACAGATGGCTGGCTGCAGCTGGTATACACAACCAGGGGCTGTGCCCTGGGAGTGAGTTGTGAGGGCAGATGCACGGAGATTCCCATTCGCCATGTGAGCATCCCTTGACTTGGGCCACTCCATGTGGTTCCAGAACACCTGTGGCTTCTTGCAGGTGCCAAAGTCTGTGTGTTCCAGCGACTGCCTCGAAGGGCACCAGCGAGTGATTTCGGGTTTCTACCACTGTTGCTTTCAGTGTGTGCCCTGTGAGGCCGGGAGCTTCCTCAACAAGAGCGGTGAGTGTCCAAATGAGTGGGAGAATGACTGGGCACTCCCAGGGTCTGTATGGCAGATGAGGGGATCTCCCTTGGGCCACGCATGTGCAGAACCAGAGCCTTGCTCCCTCTGTTGCCAGTTGAGGTACAGGTTGTAGAATATTTGCCACCAGACTGAGTTCTGATGAAGCAGAAACCAACAACCAGTTGAAATCCTCAGGTCCCCTATGTCTTTTACTAGAGGGCTCCTGATGCAGATGCAATCTTATCCTAAATTCAACCTTTTTATGCGAACAGATGTAGTTATGTTTCCTTGTCCCCTCCCATGCTGTCTGTGTGAAGTCCCTTCCGTTGCCCCTGCCAAAGACAGCCAGCACCTTGGACAGCTTGGCCTTGATGCAGATACTATTGTATCTGCAGACAAGAAACGTAGCATACTCCACCCAGTGGTGATGCAAGGTCAAGATCAGAGAGCAAACTCAGGTAGCTAAGGGCTCAGCCCAGAGCTGGACTCTGTGAGCCACGTTCTTTCCTTTTACTATCTCTGTGGGCGTGAGGACACATCTCTTCTGCTCTCAGAGAGTCAGAGAAACCACAGAATGGCAGCACAGATAGGTGGCTTTGGGTAATGGAAGTGCTGGGGAGATGAAAATGCCCTTCCTTTGGGGCTGGTTGCTCCTATTGGATCATAGCCTCACTGGCATGTGGGCAGAGCTACCAGAGTAAGGCCCTCTCTAAGGATCTCTTGGTTTGCAAGCCCCTTCTGGGATCATAAGCCATACAGAACCTACCCAAGGGTCTCCAGAATCTGCAATTAACACAGGCATCTGGAGGAAACACTTGGCCGCGGGGCCCCACTCAGGGCTACCCCCTATCTCGCTGTGTGCAGTAGGAGCCCGGCTTCTGTGGTACAGCGCTCCCAGCACCTTGCAGGCCTACATGGCTTCCCTTCCTCATTCCTGCTCTGCTCATCTAGCTCTCAGGAGCCCCCTCCCCCTTTTCTTCCAGACCTCCACAGCTGCCAGCCTTGTGGGAAAGAAGAGTGGGCACCTGCGGGAAGTGAAACCTGCTTTCCACGCACCGTGGTGTTTTTGACTTGGCACGAGACCATCTCTTGGGTGCTGCTGGCAGCTAATACGTTGCTGCTGCTGCTGGTGACTGGGACTGCTGGCCTGTTTGCCTGGCACTTAGACACCCCTGTGGTGAAGTCTGCTGGGGGCCGACTGTGCTTCTTCATGCTGGGCTCCCTGGCAGGGGGCAGCTGTGGGCTCTATGGCTTTTTTGGGGAGCCCACGCTGCCCACATGCTTGTTGCGCCAAAGCCTCCTTGCCCTGGGTTTTGCCATCTTCCTGTCCTGCCTGACCATCCGCTCCTTCCAACTGGTCTTCATCTTCAAGTTTTCTGCCAAGGTACCCACCTTCTACCGTGCCTGGGTCCAAAACCACGGTCCTGGCCTGTTTGTGGTGATCAGCTCAATGGCCCAGCTGCTCATCTGTCTAACTTGGCTGGCGGTGTGGACCCCACTGCCCACCAGGGAGTACCAGCGCTTCCCTCAGCTGGTGGTGCTTGATTGCACAGAGGCCAACTCACCGGGCTTCATGTTGGCTTTCGCCTACAATGGCCTCCTGTCCGTCAGCGCCTTTGCCTGCAGCTACCTGGGCAAGGACCTGCCAGAGAACTACAACGAGGCCAAATGTGTCACTTTTAGTCTGCTGCTCAACTTCGTGTCCTGGATTGCCTTCTTCACCACGGCCAGCGTCTACCAGGGCAAGTACTTGCCCGCGGTCAACGTGCTGGCGGCGCTGAGCAGCCTGAGTGGCGGCTTCAGCGGTTATTTCCTCCCCAAGTGCTACGTGATCCTGTGCCGCCCAGATCTCAACAGCACAGAGCACTTCCAGGCCTCCATCCAGGAGTACACGAGGCGCTGCGGCTCCACCTGACCAGTGGGGCGGGCAGGGCCTAGCCGGGGAGGTGGGGGGTGGGGGGTGAAGGAGTAGAAGGTGGGGTAGGGGCGCCTCCCCTGCCCTGAGGGTCGAAGGTCGAGCGAGGCGAGCGGGCCCCGCGCCCTCCGGGAGGCCTTTTGGACTCCTGTCTTGGCTCGGGTAGTGTACGCTCACGGGAGTCCAGTCCAGGCTCCGAGCTGCCAATAAAGCGGTGAAACATGCGTCCTGGCTGCTCTAGCTGTCTGAAGCGAGGGTGGGGCGCTGCCTCCTCAACTGCGGACGCCGCGGGAGCCGACCGCAGCCGGAACCCAGGCACTCGGCCCCAGCGCCGAGGGCGCAGCTTGACGTTGCTAAGCAACTCGGGGACGTCAGCCCTGGCAGAGCGATCTGGGCCAAGCCCCCTCTCCCCATACCATTGGCCGTTCTCTGCCTGGTCCCGCCCCAGGGGCGGAGCTATAAGCCCTGTACCTCCTGGTTTCCCAGCGCGTCCGGCGCTCCCTGACGTCACGTCCGGCGGCGGCGGCGGCGGCGGCGGCGGCGACGGCGGCGTCTCCGTACGGTCGGCCGGGCACGTACCGCCCGGGCAGTTGGTCAGTGGGGCTCTGGAGGCGACGAGGTCCGGGGTCTGTGGGGCCGTCGCAGGGAGGACAGGCCCGGGTGAGGAGTTCGGAGGCAGCAGGGTGTGGGAGGGAAGGGCTGCGGGCCGCCGTGGCCACCAACTGGAGTGTGACTGCGACCGCCTTCCGCCCGGCCGCCCCGGACGTGTGGGCACGGCGTGGGTTCTGCTCACCTGTCCGCACCCGCAGCTTCCCTGCCACGGGTCCCCTCGCTCTGCCAGGCCGATCAGTTCGCTCTGATTCTCCGTCTCTTTCCCCCACACTGATTCCTTCCACCCGCACCTCTTCACGACCCTGTCCTGTTCTCCGCCAAGCCATGCTTCCGTCCCCAACCTAGTCCGTCTGTGCCCCCGCCACACACTGTCTCTGGCCCACCCAGTATGGCCTGCTCACCTGGCTCCCACTCCCAGGGAGGTGTTCAGTCCATTCCTGTCTGAGCTGACTTCCTCTAACGTTGACCTAAGCCCTCGTTGAGATAAACATGACCGAGTACCGTCCACCTCCCCTTTTGTTCTCCCCAGTCCAGGGGCTTCCCCTTGCTACTCCTGGGTTGGGCTTGCCAGGATGTCACTTCTACCTTCCTCTCCTCCAGACAGACCATGGACGGCTCCTTCATCCAGCACAGTGTGAGGGTTCTGCAGGAGCTCAACAAGCAGCGAGAGAAGGGCCAGTACTGCGATGCCACCCTGGACGTGGGAGGCCTGGTGTTCAAGGCACACTGGAGTGTCCTTGCCTGCTGCAGCCACTTCTTCCAGAGCCTCTATGGGGATGGCTCAGGGGGCAGTGTGGTCCTCCCTGCCGGCTTTGCTGAGATCTTTGGTCTCCTGTTGGACTTTTTCTATACTGGTCACCTTGCTCTCACCTCCGGAAACCGGGACCAGGTGCTTTTGGCAGCAAGGGAGTTGCGAGTGCCAGAGGCTGTGGAGCTTTGCCAGAGTTTCAAGCCCAAAACCTCAGGGGGGCAGGCATCAAGTGGCCAGAGTGGGCTGGGGAAACCTACCCCCCGGAATGTAAACAGCCACCTCAAGGAGCCGGCAGGCTTGGAGGAAGAGGAAGTTTCGAAGACACTGGGTCAAGTCCCCAGAGACCAGGAGATCGGTGGCAGCCACAGCCCCGAAAGGCCCCAGCTTGGTCTCCCGGCCCCGAGTGAGGGCCCCTCCTTCCACCGTGGGAAACTCAAGCAAGCCTTGAAGCTTTGTCCCCCAGAAGACAAGGAGCCTGAGGATTGCAAAGCACCTCCAAGACCCTTTGAGGCTGAAGGTGTCCAGCTGCAGGGCGGGAATAATGAGGTACTGTGCCCAGGGTGCTGGGAATGGGGAGGTAGGAGCTGGGGGTGGTGGTGGAGACACTGACACTTTTCTGGGATAGTCTGGACCCCAAGATAGAATCTTTGTTAGGTGGGGCTGGAATAGGTTTCCTCCAAACGTAGGAATCCGGCTCCATCCTGCAGCCTCCGGCTAACCTTCCTGTGAGTCACAGCTGTCCAGGGTTGGCAGCTTCTTGGGGTTGGGTAGCTGGCTTCGGGGTTACAGGTGTTTCCCCAGGGTAGTGAAGTCCAGCCAAACTTCCAGTTCACCACAGAGTCACTGCCCTCCAAATCCAAGATTCCGAGGAGGCCTGCCCTAGGACCTTGATGAGAACAGCCACCGATAAAGGGAGTCATCTTGGGATGGAACTGGAATGAGCCGACTGCCCTGTAGATCTGCCCCCAGAACTCCTAATGGTTCATTTGGTGACCTTGCCTCCCGCTGCCTTTTCTGCTCTAGTGGGAAGTGGTGGTTCAAGTTGAGGACGACGGGGATGGTGATTATGTTTCTGAGAGTGAGGCCTTGCCAACCAGGAGGAAATCAAACATGATCAGAAAGCCCTGTGCTGCAGAGCCAGCCCTGAGCACAGGTTCCCTGGCAGCCGAGCCGGCTGAGAGCAGAAAAGGTACAGCGGTGCCGGTTGAATGCCCCACATGTCATAAAAAGTTCCTCAGCAAATATTATCTAAAAGTCCACAACAGGTAAACGTTCTGTTTTTCTATTTTTTTTTTTTTTTTTCCTGTCTGCTATTCCCTTGTTGGGGGAGGGGGCCTGCACTCCCTGCTTCTGGGCCACGTGGGGGCTGAGGGCTTTGTCTCACACTCGTAGTGCCCGATGTTGACATGCCTCTCATCATCAGGGAGTGAGAATCTAGTGGTGGAACAGATTCTTTCTTCGTCTCTCTCTTACTCGGAGCTTCTGGAGTGGGTCTGTAGACACCTTGTCAATAAGTTCCACCCACTGTGGACCTTGACCGCTAGCTGCCTTTTGCCAAGGGGATGAGAGAAACCCATGGCTCTGTGCTGTGGCTGAGGCGCCACCTTAGGTATTTCTAAAGCCCAGCAAGGTGGGCTTTGGGCCAAGGTGTCAGTCTTTAGGGTCGGTGCCTCCTGTGATTCTGGCGGAAACGTTAGCCCCATGGTGTCAGTGGAGCCTAAAGGACTATTTGTTTAAAACCGCGTTGTCCGGAAAGGTAACCAGGTGCCGTATGAAGCTACGTTAACTTAAAATAAGAGTACAGTTGGCTTTTCAGATTAGTAGTCACGTTGTAAGTGCTCAGTAGTCACCCGTGGGCCCCGGCAGCTGACTCGGCACAGACAGGACACTTCCCTGGTTACAGAGAGTTCTCTTAACAGTGCCGCTCCAGGTCTCTGCAAGGCCTCCGGGGGTGGCAGCCAGGTGACATGCCTTCCAGTCCTGCCACTTCATAGTCCAAGATGTCACCAGTCTGATTTCTCGCCAGGCCAGGTTGGGCCACACACGTGTTCTCAGTGCGACGCTCTGGGAAGCTAGTAGTGACGGGAGCTGGGGGATGCCTGTTTGCTCGCCTTGCTGTGAGGCACCTGCGGCCAGTGGGGTCTGGGGAAGACCCGTGTGGGAGGCACCCTGGAGTGACCCACATCAGCCTGGATGCTCCCCCAGCAGAAGACTCCGGTGCAGGCCGCTGGACTGGCCTTGAGAACTGCGAGGGGATAGTGCTCTCGTGAGGTCATTGGGATGGGGACAAGGACAGTTAATTGAGTGGCAGAGGATGGCCTCTGCGAAGTCGTAAGAGCTCTTCCGGTCTTCTGCTGGGTGGCTGACAAGACTGTTCTGGGCACTTGGTGTACCTTAGCGGATGGAGCAGGAGCCTCATGGGGCCTTCCTCTCAGCGGGGCAGAGCAGACTGGAACTGACAGCGACTTGACAGGGTGCTGGAAGGTGGGAAGTGCCACGGAAGAAAGGAGGAGAGTCCCACCTAGGGGTGGGGTGGGGTTGCAGTTTTAAAGGAAGGAATTTTGAGCAGACTCCAAGGAGATGAGGACTTCCACCAAGCGCATGGCGGGGGGGGGGGGGGGG